GCTCTTGCTCAGGCTGGTCTCCAACTCCTGAGCTCAAACGATCCTCCCGCCTTGGCCTTCCAGAGTGCTAGGACAGGCGTGAGCCACCGCGCCCAGCCTATTTTTTGTTATTTTCTAACAAATCTTACAAGGCTAAAAGTGGTGTGTTAAAATCTCTACAATTGTTCTATTTCCCAGTTTTCAATGGTGTGAATTCTACTGTGTAATCCATCATCTTCTTTGTGGCTTAATGCTTTCTGCCTTGAGGTCTACTTTATCGGTCTTTAATTACAGCTAACATTTATTGAGCATTTATTGTGTCCTACATTTTGTGCTAAGAGCGTCACACGTATTATTTAATTATCAAAACAACTCTAGACAGGTGTGGATCCAGGTTTTGTGGGGATTGGAATTTATACATTACTGAGGGCCTTCTAAAGAAAAAAATGACAAAATTATGAACATAAAATTAGGTACCACAATCAATGTTCATTTAGAGTGAGAAAATAAACCATAACAACTTAAGAGCTCTCTTCCAGCATTTAGGAGAAACGCTTCCTGCTTGCAACCTTCCCACCTGGAAGACAACTTCAGTGGCCCCTGCAAAGGAATGTAAATTTCCTTAGCGTCACCCTAAATCTGCCTGGCAGCGGGAAGAGGTGTTATCATTGGTTCCATTTTTTATAGATGAGAAAACAGACTTAGATTGAGTAAACCGCTCAACATTGCAAAGTAGGAATCTGAAAATTATGCGAATGGACTCCAGAGCCCTCATCTTTATCCCACGCCGCTTCTCACTGACATCACGGAGCGTGCACGAGGGCTTCGTTAAGGATGGCTGAGGGGCAGCAGCTGAAGAGGAACTGAACAGAAGGGCAGGCGAAAAACGGAATGAAGCCCCTAAACAGGTGGACGGAAATGGGCTCCACAGCTGTAGTAGAGAATGCGCCTTAGACAAGAAAAGGGAGAAATGTAAGAAGAGATAAAATGAGGCAGAAATGGAGCGAGTTAGTTAGACCCTGAGTACTTTCATTTATTTACAAACTGTACTGAGCCCAACCACGCCCCAGGCGTGACACTGGGTTCCCGCAGCGGAGCGGCTGGGCAACCCACGCAACGCGACCGGCCCTGTTAGGAGGCGAAGGGGAGCCAGGACAGAGGGCGGGAGGCCACAACGGTCAGCCGAAGGACAAGAAGGCCATCCGCTGAGAGCCACTGCGGTGCAGAACATTGCCGAGAAAAGGTGGGCGGGCAGAACCCAGGAGCCGCGCGCCCTGAGCGGCGCCGGAAATGGGGCCCCCGAGCCCGCCGTCCCTCTCAGCCAATGGCCGCGTGATGCGCCGTCCGACGGTGGCCTGCGCACCTGCAGGAAAAAGGCGGGAGGCCCATGAAGCGCAAGAAGGCACCATCTGTGTACGTTACTATGCGAGCCACCAGAGTAGTGTAGCCAGGGACAAGTGTCTTTCCCCATGGTTAACCTAGGCCAATACCACTACGCCTTTAACTTGAGGCCGGGCACCCCAGCTGCCCTCAGTAAAGATGGCTGACTGGCGCAGGGAAAAGCCGGAAGTAGTCTGGGCAGGGAGGAGCGGATAGAGGGCTGTTGGGGCGTGGCCTGTCAGTGGGGGGCGTGGCCAGCCTCCGTAATCTGGGTTTGAGGTCTTTGAGGCGCACGGCTGGCGGGCAGCCGTGTCCTTGCCGTCTCGCAGGGGCGGGTCCTCCACTGGCCCCGCCCCCGCCCAGGTGTCTCCCTCTTGGGAGGTCCCTGCTGAGTCTCCAAGACTTCTCCCTGGTGTTCTGCGGAACTCTTGTCTCTCCGTGGACCCGTCGTCCCTCCGCGGTCCCCTTGTCTCTCTGCGGTCGCCGGCTAGCAGCGATGGAGGGGACCCCGGAGTCTGGCTCGTCCGCTCCCGGGTCCGCAGAGCCCGCGGGTTCTGCGAGGGGCCCCGAGGAGTTGCCTCCCGAGGAGTCGGAGGGCTGCGCCCGGCCCCTGGAGGCGGCCCCAAAGAAGCTCTGTGGGTATTTAAGTAAGTTTGGCGGCAAAGGGCCCATGCGGGGCTGGAAATCCCGCTGGTTCTTCTACGACGAGAGGAAACGTCATCTGTATTATTCGCGGACCGCGCAGGATGCTAATCCTTTGGGCAGCATCGACCTCTCCAGTGCGATCTTTGACTGCAAAGCTGACGCTGAGGAGGGGACTTTCGAAATCAAGACTCCCAGCCGGGTTATGACCCTGAAGGTAAATGGAAGGGTTTTCTCCTTTCCACCTTGGATGAGTTCCCAGGGCATGGCTGGGCGCGGGTCTGCGGTCACAGTAAATTGACTGGAACAGTGATCACCGGCGTGTTCCCAAAACTTTGTGCTTTCCAAAGCGCATTCACACCCATTTCCTCATTGGGTTCCCACAAGGCAGGGATGATGGACCCATATTAGGAGTCAAGAAACTGAGTCATAGAGAGTTAAAGTGACTGGCCTGAGGTCGGGCATCTAGAGAGTGGTGTCGTCCACACTTGGAATCTTTATACTTCTCGGTGCTGTTTCAAAACTTTACTTCGGGGTATGCCTAACAATGCAGTTACCTTAGCTTTCTTGGACTGAAGTATAGTCAAATACAGTCTTTGCAATCCGCTTTCAAGGCCAGGAATCTGATTCACTTTTCTTAATGTTTTGGCCATGAGGAGTGAATGCTGAGACTTTGGCAGGGATTAGGAAGATAAATACTTAGGTTGCACTGATCAGCCTAGATTGTTCATCTAGACATGTATAAACCTGTTTTTTCTGTCAGCAGCAATAGGTAAATTTTATTTTATCATCGTGTTTAACTGAGAAAGCCTCAAATAGTGGAAAGGCCACATACTTTGAAATCAGACAGGCTTGGATTCAAATTGTACATTTGCTACTTAATAGCTGTGTGACCCTCGGTGAGTTACTTAACCACTCAGAACCTATGTAGTTTGTAAGCATCTGGCACATCACAGGCACCTACAAATTGTTGAATTAATCTCACCCTAGAGAAGAGTCTGGCACCTAGTGGGTACTTAATAAATGTTGAATAAACACACATGCATACACAGGATGATGGAACCAAGGTCAGAATGCTCATGTTGAGACGAGGTGGCCGGTAATTTAATTGGAAAGGCATATCTGGGCTAAGAGTTCTGTGGGCATCAGAGACGAGTGTGCCAAGAGATAGTCCCCCCACCTCCAGCTAACTGGGTATGCATGAATGCCCACAGGTTCAGTTCTCCTTCAGTGACGGGGCTTAGCTGGTGACCAGGCTGGGGGACTTGGTTAAAATCTTGTAAACCAGGAATTCCAGGCCAGGGAAGGCACTTTAGAGGTCATGTGGTTCCTGGGTCTCTTCCACAGGCCGAGTGCTGTATATAGGGCCTGCGTACGTGGTCTTTACTCTTCCACCATTCCACGCATGGGCCTGGCTCTATTCTAGGCTCTGGGGTGTGGCACCAGATCAGCCCTGCCCACTGGTTCTGGAGAGAGAGACTGACAGGCAAACTGGCACACACTCTAAAACATTCTATAGAGACCCTGTGATAAGTCTGTACAAGAAAAGCATGGTGACAGGAGGGATCATTTCCACTGAGTCCGGGGGCTAGCCAGAAAGGCATCGTGGAGGAGGGGCCAACACCTGAGGCTTGAAATAAGAAATAGGTGTGTGACAAGCAGACAAGGAAGAGAAAGGTATTCCAGACCAAGAGAGCCCCACGGGCAGAGATAGGAAAGCGTGATCCAGCCCTGAGTGTCCAGGAACTCACAGGAGCCTGGGATACAGAGGGGCCGGAAAGATGGAGTTGGAGAGCAGAGGCCCAGGGGTGGGGCATTTATGAGTTAGGCCGAGGAGCTTGGACTTTGTCCTGTAGGCTGTGGGAAATTGTCAAAGAGCTTTAAATGAGGAAGCACTGTGAGATTAGAGTGTTTAGGAAGCTCAGCCTGGCTATTGGGTAGAGAACACGTTAGGGGAAAGCAAGGCTGGTAGTCAGGGAGCCCATCACCTCCCAGCCCAGGGAGGGGATTGGGAGAGGATGACAGCTCAGCTAGAGCTGTGGCCGTGGGGAGGGAGACAGTGGAGGTGGCTTGGGGTTGTAGGAAAGTAGAATGTGGGAGAACATCAGAGTGGCTGGAGTAACTAACTGGCTGACTGCCTGGTTACTCACTGACAAGAGGGACTCAGGATGAGGAGCCCATGGGACATCTAGGTACATGGACCCTGCAGGAGGACAGAGACCATGTGTGGTGACTCGGACCTGTATCTCCAGCACCTAGCACAGTCTCTGACGCATGTAATAGGTGCTCAGTGTACACTTGTCAAATGAATTAATACAATGGGATATTTGGGTTTGGCTAGAGCTCATCAGCATTAAGGTCTTAGTAAAACCCTGGGAGGAGCTGAGGTCTCTCAGGGCAAGTGCACAGAAAGAGAAGACTGGTGGGCATCATTTTGTCTCCTTGATACCTACACGACAGGCTGAGGGTCTCTTTCATGAAGCCTCCCGGCCTAGTACACACCTGTGGACCCCTGAGAGGCGGAGCTTGCCCCAGTGCCACTAGCCTGCTGCTGTTCTCTCATGGCCTCGATCGTAGGCAGGTCTGTGGGGCTCCCCATCCACCCCCATCGAGCCGCCTATCTTCTGCAGCCCACCTCAGCTGATCTCAGGCCTCCTTTATGGAAGCCACAAGTCTCCTGGCCATAAATCCCAGCAGAGTTCTCTGGTCTAGAAGTGGGGCACCGGATTCTGGGACCAGCTCTCCACCACAAGCCAGGGCAGCTTCGGGACCTTCGTTTCTTCATTTGTGGAAAGGACTGATCAGTCCTGCCTTGCCCCTTTCCTGGAGGAGCCAGGGAGTGAGTGGATGTGAAAGTGGGTGTTTGGACTATCCAGTGCTGGGAGACTGATGACCAGCATTTACTATTAACTTATTTGGTGTGCTAGAGCACCTGGAAGGTGCCACCATGTTGTCACAGCACGTGGCTGTCCAGTCCTCATTCATATCCATGATTCAGTGTTTCCCAAAGCAGGAGGGATCACCTCCATTCCACTGAAAGGTAGCAAAGACTTGGGGGTGTCACCGAGGGAGATAGTGATGGTACCAGGGCCCTACCCAAGTTAGAATTCCGAAGTTCTTCCCCTCCCTCACAGCATCTCCAAATTCCCCCATCCGGTGAGCACATTTTGAGTATCTAATGTATGTCGGGTACTGTGCGGGACACTTTGCATTCCTTATCTCATTTCGTCCTCATGCCTGCCCTAGAAAATGTGCATTATTGTCACCATAGTACAGATGAGGAAACTGGGGCCAAGAGCAATTAAGGAACCTCTAAGTGGGAGAACAGACCCTGATTATCTTCTGTGGCCTAGAAGCATGTGGTCTTTCAGAGGCGAATACCTACCCACAGTGACCTTTTTTTTTTTTCTGGGAAAGAGAAAGTTCCTGTCCCACACCCAGTGCCACCCTGCAGGCACAGGGCCTTGCCAATTAATCCTTGTGCTTCTCAGGCCGCCACCAAGCAAGTGATGCTGTACTGGCTGCAGCAGCTACAGATGAAGCGCTGGGAGTTCCACAACAGCCCGCCTGCACCAGAAGCCGCCCTGGCTGGGAACGGGCCCGCCCTGCACCTCGAGCTAGGTACCCGACCGGCTGGCCTCCTGCCCACACACCCAGGGCTCTGGTGATTCAGCCTTGACCTTCCTGTTGAGTGAGCGGGAGGAGCCCGGGATGTGGCTCAGGATTAGTTAGGGCAAGAATTTGGGCTTGGAGGCCAGACTTCCTGGACTCAAATCCTAATTCTGTGTGATTTAGGCAAGTCGTTTAACCTCTCTGAGCTTTAGTTTCCTTCCCTGTAACCTTCTTAGGGTTGTTATAGGATTAAATGAATCCATACACCTAAAATGGTTAGAACAATGCCTACACATGGTCAGAGCCCGATAAATGTTAGCTGCTATTATGACGACTATTATGGGAAAGTTTCAAGAAATGAAACTTTCACAGAGTTTCCATGAGGAGGGTTAATGAGAAAATGCAGTGTCGTGCTTGCTGCTTATGCAAATGCTTTTGTACAGAGAGTTGGTAGATCAGTGATTTTATACCTGGTATTCTCATAAGACAGATTCTGTTGCACCCTCATGGCTTACAAATGAAGTTTCTTGATCCCAGATCTTAGAACAACATCCCAGCATGGATGAGCCCAGGAGATCACACCCTCCCACCCGCACACTGCAGCCAGGACCATGATTGGCAGGTTTTAGAATTGAGATAGACCATCTCACAGCTGCCCCTGCAGGAACACAGAAAACCAGGTCCCAGCACAAGGCTGCAGAGTGTCCAAAGTGCCTCATCCTCAGTCGACAGCGAGGCTGAATAGGCAGGGACAGGAGTTGTCACCAAGCACTTCCTGGACCTCTACCTGGATGCTTTGCGTGTCCAAATCTGAGTGCATCCGCCTTGACCTTTCTCCTCCCCCAGTGTCCCTTCACTTGGTAGATGGCTCCCCACATACCGTCCTCCACCCTTCCTCAATCTTGGCCAGCGAATCCAGTCAGGCACCATGCTGACCATTTTTGCTCTCTGACCCACACATTGGACCCAGGCGTTTCTCGCTACCATTGCGTGGGTCAGACCTCATCTCTTAGTTGAAAAATTACAGCAGCCTCCACTCCAGTGTTCCCGTGTGCAGGCCTGCACCTGCACCCATCCCTCCCCACACCCCAAGTGAGCTTTCTAAAAGGAAAACCTGAGCCTGTCACCCCATCCAGGGCTGGTCTGCCACCCAGCTCCCGCACAGGGTGCTCATGCTTGTCCCTCGTGACCTCACCTCTGCCTGCCCCCTCAGTGCCCACCTTGGGCTTGTTGCTTCAGCAGCACCAGATGAGCCTCTGCTCTCTATCTCCTTTGCCTGGCAGATTCCTGCTTATTCTTGCTGGCCCAGCTCTGTTACCACCTCCTCTTGCCACCCTCCTTCTGGAAGCCTTCTCAGACTCTGCCCACTGGACTCTGAGGTCCCTCAACACTTTCTTCAAACATTTCTAAGGAGGCCTGTCACATTGTGTTGAATTACCCCTGTCCTTGTCAGTCTCTGCCCACTAGCCCTTAAGGGTGAAGACCATTTCTTTGTCACCTGTTGCCCCTAGTCCTTGGTGCCCTGCCTGGCACATTGGCTATTCATGGAGTGAACGTGTGAGCGAATACATTGAACTTTATAATTCAATGAGGAAAGGAATGGAAAGCCCTTAGCGTAATGCTATGCACGTAGTGAGTGCCCGATACATGTGGTTGTCCTAATAATCACGTTTATGTGTGTACATAAGTGTGTGTGCTATTACTCACATAGTAGTACATGTACACATATATGTGCCATTACTGTTACAGTAACTGCTCCTTAGATTGTTAATAACAGTCATCAGTGGTTTCTTTGGGGTTTCTTTTTGAAGGTTTCTTTACTTCAGCACTTCTCTAGCCCCCACTCCCCATATGCCCGGGAGCCACACAACCCTGGCTACGCCGAAAATTGCAGCCGAGTTGACAGAATTGCCAAAGGTCAGCCTCAGACTAGAAGCGAGAGAAACCCTCCCAATAACAGAATTCTTGTGTGTCTGGAACTGAAATTTGAAGAAGCAGATTGTCAAAGCGTGGCTCTGGGATCCCACGGGCCCTTCCGTTGCGGTGAACCTGTCCCAGGTTCTTTAATTCTGTGGCTTCGCTTCAGCACACACAGCAGGCCTCTGCTGGGCTAACCCCTGCCAGTTGCCAGGATGACCAGGGTGCCAGTCTCCCGAGGAGGATGCTGGCCTGCAACTCCAGAAGCAGGGATGTGGGCTTCTCCTCGTGAAGCCTTTCCTCACCCGACAGCAAGTCTGCACCCTCCCAGACCAAGGGCCTGGGCAAAACCTTCCCCAGCCCACCCAGAAAGACATTTCTGGAATCTTGAGCAAGCCAGCAAGCCCTGGATTAGACATCTGGAGCAAGCTGCCCCACTCTGCAGCCGCCACCCTTCCTGAGGAAGCAGAGGCCTGCTCCTAGGATGGTGAAAACCTCCTGACCCATGTCTGACTTTGAGTCACAGAGACTCCATCTGGTAAAAAGTGTTTTGTCACTGCCCTTGAGCAATCTGTAAGGCATGTTCTCTACAGTTTTTAAGCGCTTACAATTTTGTTTGATACTTTACGTAAATAGTGGTTTGTTTCTACAGAGCCAAGAAAGATCAAAGAGAAACCAACAGATTTATAATAAGAAGAATAGCATGTTGCCAAAGTAGGCTAGAGTTTACAAAGGACTTTCATAAATGTATATCGTCTCCAAAACATGCATACCATTTATTGATGCTGCTCTAACGTTACATGTTTCATCTTGTCCAATCCTCACAACAATCTTATGAGCTAGTTAGTGTTATTCACATTTTATAGAAGAGGAAACTGAGGCTTGCAGAGATCAAGGGACCTCTCCAAGGTCACATAGTAAGAAAGTGTCAGTGGTAAAATTCAAACCCTAGTCTGCAGACTCACACCTCCCTTCCAAAGCTGAGGGACAGCCAGCCATCTGTCCAGGGCCCTCCTTGGAAGCAGTGACCTCCTGGGCCAGGCCCTTTTTTGTCTAGGCAGTGACTTCTTCCCACTGATGATGGGGCAGCCCCTAGGGCTCAGGCAGGGAGAATTGCAGATAAATGCCACTGAAAATTCTTTGTGCGGTCACCTCATGGAGGGCATTTATCCAGGCTAGAGAGGGGCCCAGAGGCCCCAGACCATAGTCTTGGGTCACCAATTCTGTTTCCTATGGAAAGTGCTGATCTCTGCTTTGACATTGCCATCATGTACTACCCATCCTTAGACAGCCCCTTAGCACTGGGACCTGTGGCTTGCTGGGCAGCTCCTCCTGTCCTGGAATGGTCTGCTTGTTAGAAAGGCTGCTCTGATAAGCCACACGGTTTAGTGATAAAAGCAAAAGTGAGGAACTGCATTTGAGTCTATAACTGTGTCACCTGCTAACTTCGACCTTGGCTATGAAACTTATCCTCTCTGAGCTACTGTTTCCTCACTGGTGAAACCAACCAGAGATAACACTTAACCCCCAAGACTTAGTTCTCTGTGGTCTCAGAGCAGATCTAGGGCCACAAGTGGTGGTTATAGGAAAACAGATAATGGTAGGTAGAGGGTACTTACTAAAGTATTAAAATCTTAGAAAATCTGTAAATTTTTTTTTTTTTTTTTGCTCTGAATGAGGGAGAATAAAGGTGGTTAAAGTATTGATAAACAAGACCAGGTGCGGTGGCTCATGCTTGTAATCCTAGCACTCTGAGAGGCCAAGGCCGGAGTTTGAGACTAGCCTGAGCAAGAGTGAGACCCCATCTCTACTAAAACTAGAAAAAATTAGCCAGGCAACTAAAAATAGAAATAAAAAATTAGCGGAGCGTGTGGCATGCACCTGTAGTCCCAGTTACTCTGGAGGCTGAGGCAGGAGGATGGCTTGAGCCCAGGAGTTTGAGGTTGCTGTAAGCTAGGCTGATGCCACGGCACTCTATCCTGGGAGACAGAGCAAGACTCTGTCTCAAACAAAAAACAAAAAAAATTGATAAACAAGAGAATCTTACTTATTTTGAATCAACTCAAAGCCTATATATAAAGACTACTTTGAAAGATGTCCACAGTATGGGGCCTCATGGTTTTCTAAACATTTTCGTATACTTTAACTCCAAAGGAGACAGGATGGAGACTAGCCTTGTTTTTTAAAAAAAGTTATTTCCAACCAGGTCACTGCACCATCCTTGCAGAAACAGGGCTGGGTTTGAAATCTTCTGACCAAAGCCAGGTCCAGTACTTCAGCCTCCTCTGCTCAAACCCCTGGGGGCTCTGGTTTCCAGCCAGAGGAGATCCAGCCTCTTAGCCACACCCCTTTCCATTCGGCCTTCCTGGTCCCATCTCCCCTGGGGTCCTCCCCACACACTCAGCTCTGGGTGTGGGACCCCTTGCTGTTGCCAGTACCTACACTTGCACAGAAAGATCCTTCCTCATTCCTCCTGCAAATCCAAATCAACTCCAGTCCTCAAGGCCCAGCTGCAGTGCTTCCCCCTTCCAGGAAGTCTTCTCCCTGGCCGGAATTGGAAGGACTCTGTCTCCACCTCCCAGAATGGCCCCCAGCTCCTGCCCACCGGGTGTTCCCAAGGTGTGCGCTCTTCCCCTCCCCTGCTCCTTAGGCTGTGAGCTTCACTTTGATTCATCTCTCTTTCTCCAGCCCCACCTGGAAGCCTTAGGTTAGACAACCAGTCTGTATTTGGGGAGAGGGTGAATTGAAGGGAGGACCTCAAAAGAATGGTTTTTGAGTAGTGTTGCAGAGTGCTGGCCAGCCTGCCAGATTCAGCAGAGCCTATTAGGAATTAACAAATGTATTGTCTGTTGTTGTTTCAATTATTGCAAAGTTTGTTTTCTTAAGTAGGTTGAACACTTGGCCCCACCATTATATTTAATATTTTTATACCCACACTCTTTTTGCAGATATAGTGCAAAAACAATTTCCTCCACCCCTAAATTTTTCAACCTCTCGGTAAGAGGGCTACAAATGAAAAGTGTCTGCTGCCCTCATAGGTCTTAGGAGCTGCCTAGGCAAGACCATCCCATCCCATAAGCGGTCCTGGCTTTTTTCCAGTTTCGATAACCCTCAAAATTAATTTCTAAATATTTCACCTTCTCTCTCTCTTATAATATTTCTTTGAAACCTTTCTTAACATTAAAGTAAACATTTTGAAGTCACTCACTGTAGAAGAGTCATTGTTTAAGCAGAAAATTTGGAAAACAGAAAAAAGAAAAAGTACCTATAATCCTATTACCCAGAGACAGCCAGTGTTAACATTATGTTGTCACCTTCTGTCCCCCTTTTATGTAAACATTTTGGATCATATAATAATATCAAACATCCTACTTTGCTTTTTTTTTTT